AAAAAAAAAAAAAAATCAAGTATTGGTTCTTTAAATATCATTTCCTGAGCCAGTTCATGTTGAACTGAAATTTCTGCTAGTCCAACTCTCTGTTTTTCCGTCATTGCCTATTAACATATCTTAGGTACCTTAAGCTTTGAGTAGCTACAGTCACAGCTTGATGCCATAATAGGAAGGCATAATTGTTGTCAAAAGTAACTGTAATATTAAGGGCACTACATAGGACGATTTTCCCTGGTCCCCACAACCCCATAGGGATAGCCCTGGGATGAGAAAGTGAGTATGTGAGAGAAACCTAATGAGGAGTACCCCATAGAATATAAATGAGAATGAATGAGATAAAATCAGGTGTTCTAAGATACTTCTACAGCTTTATTTTTTATGTTGGGCCTGACCTAAGAAAAATTAATGAAATGGGATCCTCTTGCCAATTCTGAAGCTAAGGGAGAAGCTCATATATGTGATTTGGCAAGAACATTGCTTTCATGGGTCAGCTTTTTTTTAAGGTACTACAGTTTTTTCTACCTTAATTCATCATTTCCAACATCACTGTTAAGAGTCTCATACTACATGCTTCAGACATTCAAGATGCACTTGGAATCTGTGCAAGAATTTAGTTATTTCTGTTAGTCAGTTGCATGTGTGATGTCATTTTTGGCTTTAAATGTCTCTGTTTTCCCTTTTCTAATAACAGTTTCATTCTTGAATCACATTTTTCAAGAACAGATATAATTAACATTTTTTCAGTTAAATTTAAACATGTAAAATACTCATAGTGAAATATTTACGATGTGCAGAATGTCTCTTTGCATTATCTTTCTCATTGTCACATGTCTTAAGAAAGAATTTTATATTAGTGTTATGCTATCAGAAATGCTGTTTCAATTAGACACAAGCATACAGAAATATTAAGAGAATAGATAAGGAGATCAAGATTCCGCTTTCTTATGACCCCTCACGCTACCTCCACAGTAAAAGTAACATTATATTTCTAGTTTTTGCTGCATGGTAATATTAAATGTTATTGCAAAAGGAAATGTACTCAACAAACACTGTATTGGCTTAACAGGAGCACTGAGGTTTCTTTTTCTGTATTTATCAACAGATCTCATACAGGAGAAAAATTTTCATTGCAGTTAAATTCTCTGTGCAAAAGCACCGGGTTTATTGTTATCAAGACAGAATTAGAATAAAATAATTTGACAATAACTGATGATTTAAAAAAATATAAAATATTATTTAAAGGAATTGCTACTTTTTTGTTGTTGCTTACTTTCAAACTGACCTGATAAGCAATAATTTAACAGTATGAATTCATCTGTAAATGAAGAACATGTTGTCAACAATATCTTGGCTGTTAATCTGAAACTTCTGAAGCTTCTTGGACTGTGGCAAGGTCACACAGCTTCTTTCAAATTCTCATGGGCAATAAAGCTGTTTATCTTTTATAGATGGGCACTTCTTATCATTATGTATCTCCACACTGCAACAGAATACTTAGATATTGTGTTCACATGGGGAGACTTAGAAAATCTAGCTGCTACTGGCAGTGTAACTTTAATTTACACTACTTGTATAATGAAACAGACAGTATTTCTGCTATTTGAGAAACGTCTTCAAGATTTGGTTCATAGTCTGCGAAGTGGTAATTTAGCAACATCATTGAGGTGGACCAAACAGCATTTTGAGATCTTGCATATTGCTGATCGCCGTGCACAAGCTGCTAGTTGGAGGTACTACTACCTCTGTATTGGCACTATTATCTCATTTTTTATAACATCCATTATTAGTTCATATGGTACAGCCTTTGGACTTGAAGGATTCAGCCAAGGGAACCAAACAGTAAAAACTTTAGTGTTCAAAGCATGGTTTCCATTTGACATTCAACAGTCAGGCTATTTTGAAATAGCTTTTTGTTTCCAAATAATAACTTGTACCATGGGACCAGCTATCAATGTAGGAATGGATACCTTACTTGTGAGTGTGATCATCAATTGTTGCGGTGAATTCAGAGTACTGAAGTATTCACTGAGAACAATCAGGGAACGAGCAGAAGAGTTACTGGCTTCAGAGAAGTCATTTCGAGAAGAAAATCTCAGTGTAAGTGAGATGATACAATCTAAGGAGAATGTAAGAACAGAACAAGCCGGGGTTTTAACAGGTAGGTAAGCATTATATTTAACTCATTTATTAGGAGATAGACTAAAGACCAAAGACATATGAACTCCTTCAGGCAGAAATCAAACCAATACATACAGAAAATATTTCGCTTGTGGATTTAGGTCCTTCCAGATTTTAGATGTCACATACGGGGTCCGATATTGTATATACCAGTCTGAAAATATGGTCGATTTCTGACAGATTATTATATAAGCCCTTGTGCATAATTTTAGCGAATGTTCGGTGCGGATGATTATTAAATTTATTTTATTTTAATGGTACATAAAGGCATTAATTTTAGGTAAATATGTTTAGATATATGAGTAATACTTAGAAAGAAATTGGGAGAAAGATTGAATGAAAAATAAAATGTTTCCACTGTACAATATGAGACAAAATACCCACTGGTGGTTTAACAATATATGAATCAGAAGAAGCTGGGAACCACTGCTCAAAATAACTAGCTTATTTGCTCAAGCATGTGGAATTGACACAATGTGGCAAAACTGTCATGTACCTGTCAACAATATGTATCTGTATACAAAAGTAAAATGTGCGTGATTGTGTGTCTTCTTTCAGTGGACATTGGATGTAATGAGATATTTTCTAACAGTCAAAATAACAAAAATCTTGGACAGGAAGTTCACTTCTCACAAGAAGATCTGGATTTAAAGTCAAACATCTGCTTAGTGGAATGTATACAGCACCATCAATTGATTTTAGAGTAAGTGGTAGTGATTTCTCTTATCTCAAATTTTAAAGTACTAATGGCAATCATCTGAATAACCAAAGTAGATAAAAATTCAAGTGCGGTTAGTAATATACAGGGCGATTGAAAAGGTTAGGGCCAAACTGAAGGAGCGCGTAGAGGAACTCAGAAAGAACAACTTTCGAATAGGAATCATGTCCTCCAAAGTTATCCTGAGTCAGTCGAGGCCACTGAATGTAGGGAAGTCTGATAACATACCGCTGAAATAATCATACTTTGCTATTCTCCTACTAGCTACATGTATCCCGTCAGATTCTACAGAGGCCCCTGGGCTGTTTACATTGTGTTTGTGAGTTGATAGAGACTGGTGTACCCCTATCTTCAATGGCCTCGACTGACTCAGGATAACTTCAAAGGACATGGATTCCTATTCAAAAGTTGTTCTCTCCGAGTCCCTCTATACGCTCCTTCAGTTTGGTCCTAACCTTTTGAATCACTCTGTATATCTTTACATTTTATTTAATAGCACATAGTTTGTTTAGCTAACAGAGAACTATTAAATTATAAAAAATGGGATCATATAATAGAATACATTTTATACTTTTATTGCAGACTGGTGGCAAGTAT